GTATGTATGTATGTATGTATGTATGTATGTATGTATGTATGTATGTACACAAATACTTTATTAAATAGATTTAAAGTGCAGATAAGGAGAAGGAGAAGCAGAAGGACGGAGGAGGATTCGGAGCATCCCCGGGGTGCCCGCTCACTGAGCAGCAGGCTGAAGGCGTAATGGTTTAGAAGCTAATTTGATATCTTTAAACCTAACTAATCCAGCCCTAACTGAAACAGATACGATGCCTTTTAAAAAGCCTTTTCAAAAGCAAATCAAACTGTTACTCAGTCCATCGCTGACACGAGGACATAATAGCTATAATTATCTGAAATCCAGACGGAGCATCAGAAAGAGTACTGGCGTGGCTTTAACATTCCCAAGGCTCTTCTCTCCCTGAAGACACCCACTGATGGCCTGTCACTGTAGAGGCTGAGTTTCAGACGGGGCGTCAGGTAGCAGATTTTCTTTGGATGAGAGCCAGCTAAACTGTGAGCCATGTTCAGGAAATGCCATTTGTGGGCAAAAAAGAGGGATGAAATGGATGGGAGATGTAAAAGGGGAAAAGTAAGCCCTCTCCAGGGAGAGTCTCAGACCTGTAAAGATCTCTGTCATCTTCATGACTTTACACTCTGCCCACCAAATGAGTGGAAGACTGTGTGTCTTTACAACACATACAGACACACAGATCAAAGAAAAAAGGCCATGGAAAGAAATGAGAGCAGACTGATTAAATTACCTTGAAAAGAGACTCTGGCCATAAGTCCATTTTCTGCCCTGATTTAGTTCATCCCAGATGACAACTGTACGAAGTATGCTAGCAGTCTAAAATAAGGTATGAAAGAGATTCTAAAAGAAAACGACAGGACGCAGCCGGCTGCCGACTAAAGGGCTCCAAACCGAGCCCCAGGAGTGGCTGTCTGGTTGGTCAGTGCGTGGGCCTGTGATGGACCGGCCGCCTGCACAGGGGGCTCTCATCCAACAGGGGGACGGGAGCCGCATGCGTGAGGAAAAAGGGGGAGGAAAAATGGAGAGAATACACGGTGACATGGCTTTTTAAAAAACGTTTTTGTTGTCACGGTTTGAATCTTTATGTTGCACAATAAAACCTTTTAAGGTCGCGGGTGTCCCACTGAGTCCACAAAGACGCAAAAAACTAGTGGGCCGAATATCCTGCCTTATTTTGGCCACGCAAAACTAAGAACCCTGGAACAAGCCCCCAGTTCTCTCCCACAAAGAGCAGTTCAGGTCATCTGGCCCTGTGGCCCCCCAGTGAGGGTGTCACGTGGGGATTCTGTTGTTCTTCTGGGGCATTTCTGTGCCCGTGTGGACACTGTGAGCTGGGGGGTTCGGCTTCTCAGATCTGAGCTGGAATCATGTCCTCAGACCTTTGTCTGCATGTGTGGGACACACAGAGAGGAGCAGAGCTGCCAGGTTAACGTCACTGGATCTGTTAGTGGTGTCAAAAAGACTAGTTTAGCCCAAATAGATGGTTAGGGTGGACCAGCAACTTGACCAAAGTACTAAAAAATCTTCCTGGTAGAGAACTGGGGCTGGGCTAGGATTACCAGGAAACCCATGACTTTAAAATCCAGTCAAATACTTTTTTCTTTTATCAAACTGAGTAATTGGTCACCTAATGCTCTAACTGGATCGAATGAAGCTCTTGGTTTGCGGTCAATTGACACATAACAGAACATGAGAGGAAATCAATATGCACAATTATGAATGAAAAAAGCAATGACACAAACACAAGCGTTTTTTTACTGAACACACAAACGGTGTCCGACTCAAAGCTTTGAGTCCCGTTCGTACTCACCCAGTGGCACCCTGGCAGCCGAGGCATCGGGGTTGATCCAGAACGATAGCCAGGACAGAACAACGATGAGCAGGGTGGGAGCATAAACGCCCATCAGGTAGAAACCGACCTGCCGGCGTAAGGTGAAAATCACCTCCACACAGGTGTAGTATCCTGAAGACAGAGAGAAAAGGAGGGGTTTCCTACAGATTTCTTTGGGCAAAGCTTCACCTTTGACTTTCCGGACACATTTCGTCTATAAAACAATGGATTGCTTTTGCTTTAGTTATCATTTTGTAGTTAACTTGGCCTATTTAGTTCCACCATCCAGATACTTAAAGAATACTTTAAAGACTTGGTGTCTTCTTTCCTCTCAGTTTTACTTCATCAGTTTAGAAAACCAATCAGATCTATTTCCAAAAACCCAAAGGAATACATATTGAGCACATAAAGTGATGAATACCAACCTGTCCCTTGGTAAAACTTTGTGCAGTTTCCATATATGATGTCCTCCTGTTTGATATCAAACTGTGGGAGAGCGATCTCATCCATTTGCACGGGGTCTGACTGCCACATGAATACAAGATCACTGGTGGTGTACCCAACTAAAACACAAAATGTTACACAGTGTGACACATCATAGGGTCATAAAAACAAGTGGAACAAGTGGGCCTGTATTTTACAGACAAAACTCGTACGCAAGGGAAGGGATCAACTTCTCATAAACATGTGATGGAGAGCTAAGATCATGTGTCCTCGGAATAATATAAATCTGGCATTTTCGGACAGAAACTGAACAAAAATAACAGTTTTAACTGTTCTAAAAGCTTTCAAATGTGAGCCTTTATGGAGGCAGTGTGACAGAATCTTACAGATGCCTTTAAACAACTCCGACATGCGTGTCAGGATTGTTTGTGAATTGAAAATAATCGTTTAAAAACGAGAGGGACTGTAAATGTGTGAGATAATAGGGATTAGAAAAATACTTTAGCATATTTCAGAGTTTAATCAAGACTCCACTTCCTATTTAATAGCTCTTTTTCCCTTTGCTTTGCTCCATACTTTGAGCTTTTGATGCGTTTTGTAAAGAACAAGCAGTGAGCATTGAGATGATACTGGAAATAAGATGAGAAAAGCTGTTAGCATCCGGCAGAAGCTATTAGTAATACTTAGAACAAGGGCCCAAATCGAGATGAGTTAAAGAGCAACGAGGTGGAGAAAAAGGAAGATGAAGTTAAAACAGTTCAAGGGGAATATGAGATAAATGTGAGATAAAATCAATGAATTCTGAATGTTTGTTGTTTATTGGGAGACAGAGGAGCTAAATCCCCCAGCCACAGTCCAGCCCCAATTTAAAGCTAGACGCTCAGAAGATCTGTGGGACATGAAGGCAGCAGTGCTGCTACTGGTATGTAGTGGTATAGAAATATAGGTATTGCTATACAAATGGCTTTCAGGTGCGAGGTTCCGGTTGGGCAAAGTGGGCGTGGTATATAAGAAGCTGCTGCACTCAATCTGACACACATGTCTTCCTCAAGCTTGGGCTGGGATTTGCGTCTCAGGGACTGACAGTCAAAAAGCATAACATCAGGTGCATGCTGCTCTGATCTCGTGGTGGTAGGTCTCCCCTCTCTTTGTACCATTGCTGCTTGTTCACAGAAGATCTAAATCCAGGTGTGATCATAGGCAAAACGCTACTATGCGGCCCTCCTCCTCTTTTTGCGGCTCTCCTCCTCGTCGCCGGTTTGTGAGTGTGTGTGTGTGCGCGCATACATTTGTCTGGATTGGGAGGTAAGAAGTAACGCTCATTGTTAGCGCCAATTTGTTGCAGTTCTGTTAGTAGTGACTAATTAACTTTTACAGGTCTCCCCATATAACCATTGCTGCTCTGTTGATATCCCGGATTCTGCGCATCATCAACCTCGAATTGAAGCGGTGTTTGGCGTGCGGCACCGGCGCGCTCAGTTCACTTGTTGCGGCGCGGCCAGAGGGTCGCACCAGATTCGAATATTTTAGTTTGTTTTCCTTTTTTTATTCTTGTTCCAGCCTTTTTGGTTTGATATAATTATTTAGGCTGATATTGTTTTCTTTTTGTTCATTTTGGATTGTTGCCCCTATTAATTGTTTTTCTCTCTGTTGGCAGTGCTGAGGCCCGGCGGCGGTGTTGGTGTGGTGACGGTCTTCTTTCTTTTGTGTGCCGTGATTTCTGAGTTTGGGTTATCTCACTGCGTCTGGTGCTTTACAAGGGTTTTGTTTGCTGTTTTACCGTCCTATAGTGGCCCCGTTCCGCCGGTAACCTCAGCAACTGTAGTTACTTTTCTTTTTTTCCCTTTAGTATTATAAAGAACTGGTTTTAAAAAGAATATTTAAGAAGCATCTAATAAAAGGCTTTTTGTACATCGTAACATTGTCTCAGATGTCTCAATCTACGCATGAGCGAACTTGTGTGTCCTATCAAAAAGGGGAGTAATATTCCTTGGGTGAAATTCCCAAGGTGGCGTTGTTGAGTAATTTTATTTGGGTTCAAAATTTACAATTTCCCGACTTCAATCTAGTCTCGCCACAGGTACAAAGAAGAAGAAGAAGGTACTTACAGCTTTCCAGCTGCATCTTACACCGCTGTGTGTCCATCGGGAAGAGAGTTAGGTCCAAGGGACAAGACAGCGTCACCGAAAGCCTGCAGAGAAATGCACACACAACAAAAAAACCCTGCTGGGATTTATGGCTAAAAGGACTACGACGGTCCAGTTGGGATCCAGTGGGGGTCATTTAGACCCACGTTCAGTAAGTAAAGCATTTCAGTCAACAGATACCAGATATTTGACAGTATTTCACAGCCCACCGGACTCCTGAATTTAAGTTTGGACCTCAGGAGATTTTTTTAAAATGATGCCAGTATCCACTGACGTGAGCTCGAACCAGTACGAGCTGAGAAAATCTGATAGTTCCCTGATATTGATGGAGTTGGGGTCAGATCTACATGGAGCTGTCAATGGCACGTAATGTTGTGTAATGCATCATTATTTGACCACACAGAGACACACTTTCTAACCCTAAAGTCTTCAAACCGTCCAGGAGCGCAACATTTTGGTCAGACAGGTGTCCTAACATAAGCTGAACCCGTTTTATTCAGAGTTTATTCCCATTCTGAAGATGTGTGAGTGTATCCGTGTAGTCACACAAACAACGATGACATAATGTGTTAGAATATGTTCTAATCTTAACTTGTCTTTGAGTTATTTTGTGTTATAAGTTCACGCATTCTAATTTACGTTGAAAGGTACAGTTGTAAGTTCTGCATCCTGTCACTTTCTGTTTATGTGCATGTTGTCCACTGGGGGCAGTGAGAGCAAGTTCGTGTGTGTAGACTGCATTGTTCTAATAAACAAAGAAGTAAAGACGTAGATAACTGGAACGATGGCAATAAAGTGAACACAGCTATCTAACAAAAGAAGTGTGGTTCATTATCAAACATTGGTGCTGAACAAGAAAACCCAACATAATGACATAATGATTTTAGGATATTTTCCATGTTCACCATTTTGTGGAAGCAATCTTACCAGAAGCCAGAAGAAAAAGAAAAAAAGACATGTGGGCTCATACCTCATGCTGATCAGGACATCTCCATTCCTGAAAATGAAGAGGAGAATGTTGTCCTGCGTCACATCGTGGAAGTTAGCGTTTTTCTCATTGGCAAAGAAAAGATCCGGTTTCCACAAACACTGGAACATTTTGGGGTCCACAGTTAGTGCGTCACCTTTAAAGTCAGTAGGAAGTCGCAGGCGGGGGTCGTTCCATCTCTGACGAAGGAAGATATTAATTCTGTAGTCCTGCACGGAGAGAAAATGTATCAGCTATGAAAGATCATCTTTAAATACCATCAAGAGCTCTGTGGAGTTTGCCTTTTAAGGGTAACATATCAAGCTTTACGTCTGGGAAAAGCTGATTGCACGATCCCAAACCCCATTATTTCTGTAATACAGACATCTGATCCCTCACAGATAGGGAAGAGGAGCCCTCCTTCCCTGTTTTATCCTGATAAGTGTCCCTGATTCATAACTGTAATAATAACTGTAAAGTGCTGGTGAAAACACAGGAGGAATACTGGGAATACTTCATTCATTTTCACTGAGCCGTGAATGGAGGAGGGTATTTCCAGCCCCTACACTCTGGCATAATGGCCACATCATGTGGCAGAAAAAAGGGTGGGGGGGGCTGGCTAACCACAGATGGTGCTACACTGTTGATGGAGTATCTCTGCATTTTCGTGAGATGTGTAGAAAAAATTAATTTGGACCAGTTTGGGGGCTGTTATTGTCACCGATTTGTTCAAAACACACTATCACAATCAGCACCACACACCCTCTGTGCCCCCAAAACTCTGATCCCAGTCAGGGCCACCGACTGGGACCTACTGGGAACAACAGAGGTTGTTTGAAGACCAGACCAGAAGACCAGGAAGTGTTTAGAGAGCTACTGGGAATCAACAATAAACTGAGCAAACATTGTGCTTCCCCTTATTCCCCCATCCAAAAACGATTAGCTTACATTTACATTTACATGGTTATCAATGGCCAGCTAGTTTTTAACATCTCTGAGCTCCATTCAGCCAATTTATTTTGTTTTATTCCACTGTGACGATGCATCATTTGAAGCCCATCCTCCCTGTGTTTTTAGGTCTGAAAGGATCAATTCAGTCCAATAATAGCAGCACAAATTCGTAGTCTGAATGCCAGAATGTCAAACCAAAGACCAGACTAAAGGGCTTGTTTTTTTTGTGTGTGTGTGTAAGAGAGTGTGTGTTTGTGTGTGTGTGTCACCATGGTGGTCTCCTGGATGGATCCAAAGCTGTTGATGAAGATGTTGACCCTGGACTCGACCGGGATTCCTGCAGAGCAGACGCACACAGAGCAGCATGCTGAAGACAAACAGGACTGGGATGCCATTATTTTTTTATTTTTTTTATTCTATTTATTCATTAGAATAGGGACAAAGCACATTAATGAACATCAGTCAAAAACAAATGTAAATATGCCGGATTATAGCTACAAAGCTAATTTTAATCCGTAGTCCCTAGGCAGGCAAATGCATAAAAATGAACATATAATAAACACTATAAGCATCACAAGTAAATGTTAAGATTTTAGTGGTCACACCGTGTTCTGAAAGCCTCTGAACGCCTCTGAACACCTCTGCAACCCTTCAACTGAACGCACGCTGGTTTGTCCAGAATTCAGCTCAATCGCTCATCTGTCAGAGCCTCAGAGTTCCTCCCGTTGGGGGGGACCTTGTGCCTGGACCTACTCCAAAGCCTTCAATGGCCTCCTCTCTCTATTCTATGTTAGCTTGGCCATAAAAATGACCAGCAGTATGGGTCAGGGTACCCTTTGTGTTAAGAACTGTTGTAGTCAGCTCGTGTTTAGCCAGCATATGTGACCAGACCCACATATAATGTTTGGAGTATTATCATATTATCATGATTATATCATTATCGCATTGGGAGTGTGAAAAAGCATATATCTGTAGTATCTAAGAGAAAGGCCTAGTGCCCAGACGTGAGCTGTTTCAGACCCCCTCCCCCTGTCCTGTCTGAGGGAAAACTGTGTTTGGATCTGGCCTGTGGATCACAAAGGTTCCTGCTCACTCATTTTGTGACAAACTGGGAAAATGGATGCAACAGCGAAAAGAGGAAAATATTCAAAAGTTGTCTATTTTGGATGAAAATGGGAAACTACGGTAGAAAACTGAGGCCAGGCTTCACTTGTCCATTGCTGCCCGTGCTTAAGTCAAATACTTCTATCTTTTTTTTTTTTCAGCATGTTGCTGTTTGAAATCCTGATTTTTTTTTTTTTTTACCAGAGCTGCCTGTAGTAAATGAACCGGACACATGTCTCTGTGAAGCAAAAGTTCAAATGAATTTGCAGCTTCAGATTTTAGTTCTGGTTAAGAACACCCTACCCCTGTGCATGAAGAGTGAGAGTTATTCTTCAAATGTGCAGAATTACCTTGGAAGTTTGGCCTTATTCTTGGGTCATAACTGACCATCAGACGATTCAAAATGTTGGACGTAGAGTTTGCCGGAACTTGGGCCAAATCTTCTGCGGACAGTTGCCTGTGAAAATAACGAGCATGATAAATACATGCCAACCGTTCAGACGTGCCATTTCAGAGATACAGTCTAATTACAATCTAGTCCATTGTAATGCAATCCAAATCCAATCACTTCAATTGGATGACATTCAAATAAAAAACATCCAGCTCATACGGATCCAATTAACAAATGTTGCTAGCTAAAGACGCCAGCAGAGTGAAGAAACTGAGATCTATCGTCCATCCTGAGTATGCACAAGGCACCTGGGGGAAGAAAAAACTCCTTTTTAACAGGAAGAAACCTCCATCTGAACCAGAACCAGGAGGGGCAGCCATCTTTAAGAACCTGCTGGGGTCTGAGGGGACGGAAACAGGGGAACAGAAGAGAAAGATAAACACAAAATAATGACAATAACTATATCACATGTACATGGAGAAGAAAAGAGAGCAGAGGGAGGACAGGTGCATCATGGGAGCTCCCCCCAGCAGTCTGGGCCTATAGAGGGAAGAGAGGAGCATCATGGGAGCCCCCCATTGGAGCCAATTCCTGTTTTTGAGCAAAAAACAGACAAATGTGTGAATGAGAGCAGCCATAAATTCCTTTGCACACGTTGGCTAACATGAAAGTATGAAAAATCGAACGGTAAAAAAAGGTTACGAGACAAGTACAGGGGAAACCAGCCGTGTGGCCTTTAAAGGCTGAAAAAGAGGAGGTTAAAACAGAAGGCTCGTCTCGTGCCCGCTGTCCGCAGACTGGCTCCACAAATGCACTCAGACACGCGGCGCTTCGGTTAGCTTGTTCAGGAAACTCATGATTTCAGTTCAGTGCAGAGCCCGGGGGGGAGAAGCTGCTTCTCGGTCTGTCTGACTGGATAATCCTCCATCTGCCCGAGGGGAGGCAGGGTCCACGGTGGGTTGGGCATCTGCGCGGGAGTGGACGTCCTCCATCTTAGGAGGAGGCGGTGATTCACTGTGTTGTTTATATTTTTAAAAATAAGACGAGTGGGGGCAGCTCCCAGTAAGGCTGCAGCTCTGTGGGTCTGCTGCTATAGCCATCTCCAAAAATGTGTCATTGTTACTGGTGTGGTGAGACTGTAGTCATCCAGGGATGTTTGAAGGAAAGGACTCAAGCTCAGGATGGTTTCAGGAAGATTCAGCCAGGTTTCAGAAGCTTTAGAGCCCCACCTGAGACCTTACGAGGCCCAGACGCCTGATAAATCCTGCTGAGGACACTCCTTGTCTCCTTATGGTGCCGCCATCCTGGCCTGAAGATCTGAGGACTGTCCCAGGCTCTGAGCAGCATCGGGGGTTCTTATTTAAGACGACGTGGCTCCCTCAGGCCGAAGCTGCTCGGTCTTCATTTGAGGGCTGAGGGAACGGACCCAAATCCGGAAGCTAAGAGTCTACACACACACTGCTCCGGCAGATGTGGATGGTGTCACAACGGCTACTCGGTGGACGTTCTCCCGGAGCCAGAAGTCTAGACAACAGCTGGCACGCCGGTGGCAGCTCGTCACCCAGAGGCATCGATCAGGGAGACGCTGACACACTGGGCCACAAGTCCAAGCTCACTGAGGATCTCTGAGCATATGAATACGTAGAAGAGGCCACAGCACTGGGTGTGAGTGGAAGGGGGAACAAGTCATACAGTGTAAAAGTCGTCAGCTAAACCAGAAAAATGCCCCTCAACGTCCGATCAACGGACCAGAGAGGCCACCGGAGGAACCCCTCAGACAGGGAAACGACTCAAACACATCAGACAAGAAACAAAACGTCCAGCAGAGAAATGGCTGACCATTAGCGGAGTGTGCACAAAGAAAGACCCAGTCGCACACATCTCTACAAACACAAACACACACAATGGGAAGACTGCCTCCATGCAGGAGGTAGGTTAGGTTACTTCCTGGTTAGAAGCCATGTCCGAGCTGATTGGCAAAGGAAACAGTGTTGGAAGCTTCTCTTAACATCGTTAATTATCATTACAGCTTAGTTCTCCATGCTTGTTCCCTAATGGGGAGAACTGGAGCCTATCAATGGGCAAGACAGACACAGAGACACACAACCAACACTCACTCCTAAGGGCAATTTGGAATGTCCAATCAATCACTTTCTTGCTTCTTATCCACTTAAACTTCTCATATGCACATTACACCCTCATTTTCCTCCATCTGCTTGGTGAAACTTCACATGAATATACTGCTTTTCACCATTAATGTCTGATTTGTGGTGCTGCTGACAGCCAAACCTGCTGGTCCAACCGAGATACATTTGAAAATAACAACTGAAGAGTTTGGCTCACGAGGCAAACTAACATGCCGGTTTTTGGACTGTGGGGAGGAAGAAACCTCCAGAGGAAGACGGAGAACCCACACAGACACATGGAGAACTTGTGAAAGTTCCTGGGTCTCCCGGGACTCGAACCAAGAACCTTCTTGATGTGAGGTGACGGTGCTGACCACCACACCACAGTGCTGCCCGCCTTTATTAACAGTTAAAGAGAATATGAGCTTCCTAAAGAAAAGCTTATTGAAAGACCACAGATGCAAATATCACCATCTGTTTCTAATCTTCACCTTTTCTACCCAACCTCCAGTTTGAAAGACAGACAGAACAAGGAGTAGCACTCCATGTCCATTGCTGTTTAGATAGCAGGTTTTTACCATTGTTTGTCTCTCAATGCCTTTCCTCTGAATCCATTCTTAGGGGTCCGTGTCCATAAAACTTTGGGAGCGCAGTAGTGCTCAGAGATGGTCAGAGAATAGAGGGCTTTTGGACATTAAACCCATGAGGTAAAGAAGGTGCACTGTGTGGGACTGTCCTTGTCCTCAGGGCGAGCTCACGTGCTGTTCGTGCAAGCAGATACGATTAGTAATTATAAGAAGCCATGAGAGAAGCTGGATGATTAGTGTGCAGGATGGTATAAAATTAGAACAGTCTCTTACAGCCCTGAGCAAACCTAAAAAAAAAGACTGAATTATTTAACTGTTAAGTTAGATACAGGGTTGAAATAAATTGGGGGAAAAAAAGAGTCTTTTGAAAATAAGCTCTTGTTTACTCACGATGGGCAGACGACTTGCTTTCCTTTCTTTCCCTTTCCCTTTCCCTCTTTGGCTGCTGTAGGTTGCCAACAACAGAGCAGCACAAAGAGCAGAATCGCTGACCTCAGTCCAGCAGCCATGTTGCCTGAAACAGAGATCAGTGACCGGGTCAGCTCGAACCCCGTGCAGATTCCATTAAGTGAGTTCATACGTTTGACCACTCAAATTACATGGTGCACACTTTGGATTTAGCTTCCAAGACTTTTGTATGCTAGATTAAAATTGTAATTATACATGAAAGTCTCTGAAATCACTTAATTGAACAAAAAAACTCTCATACTCTGAATGTGTACAAATGATCTAAACTGAAATGACAAAAAGCCACCCAGCCCTGCAGGTCTGTTAGCCACAAGCTAACACAGAGTACAGGGTACTAACTGGTTAGGAAGGGGCTCTATATCTTTGTACAAGAACACCTCAAGGAGGACCTGTTGTATAGACATTCTAGATGGCGTTTAATATGAACTTGTTTTTATGGCCTGTTGTCATGGTGCTGATTGGCCCCTCTTTTCTGACCACTCAAACCCCAGTTGGTCCAGAAAAATGGCCGCCGTCCGCGGTTTTGGTTCTGATGGAGTTTTTTTTTTACTGCTAAATGTGAGTTCTTTCTTCCTACAGTCGCCCTGTGCATGCTCGGGGCGGAGGGTTGGATCAGGGGGACCATTCGGTGCAGTCTGCTGCTCTCCTCAGCTAGCATAATTAGTTAAGTAGCTTTGTTTGAATTGGATATAAAGATCTATTCACACCAAGGGCGTGAATAGAGGCGTCGAAACAGCCATCAGTGTTGTAGAAGAGTGGCACAAGAGTTTGCATCTTTGGAGCTATGCTTTTCGTTCAGCATCTCCATTAAAAGAAAATAAAATAAATAATTCGACCTCTACCTTTTGAAAGCGTATATGAGCAGTTAGACTCGACTCATTTAGCAGAGTGACTCAAATGCTACTGGAAAGCTTATGTAAGGATGTAATTACACCAATCTAGTTATCCATCCATCCATTTCTGTACCGCTTCTTCTAAAGCAGGGTCACGGGGGGGCAGGAGCCTATCCCAGCTTACACTGGGTGAGCACTGGGTAGGCCTACTCCTCGGACAGGTCACTAGTCCATCACAGAGCCACCCAGGGATGAACAACCACACACACACTTATTCACTCCTATGTAGAGTCTAATTGGGAGTGCTTCCTAATTTTAACAACCTGAATCCAGCTGGGTTGAACTTGTCTGAGTCTGATCATGGCTGATGTATCGAATAAGATAAATAAATCAAACCAGCTGTAAACGAATTAGCATGCTAAAGACATTGGGATTATATCAGCAATAGCATCTGTACGACTATTTTCTGCATCTGTTTTTACCAAATCAGGGCTATGTGAAGCCAGAGTGTATCCCAGCTATTTCATACTCCTTTCTAATGGTTGTTGATTACGTTGAAATAATTATTTTTACTCCAGGCTGTAGTTGCACTTCCTGGAAAAGAGGAAAAGGAACATCTTCCACAGGAAGTACCCAAACCCAAGATCATTAACAAGGCAGCCAGAGGTGCAAACAGCATTAGAGAGGGATATCGTTAGGGTTAGGGTCAGGGTTAAGGGCAGGGTTAGGGTCAGGGTTAGGGTTAGGGTTATTGGTTGCTGCATAGGTGGCTGTCTGGTCTAGTAATACATTGGTGACCTTGGCAGAGTCCAGGCCTTTGAGTGATGGTCCCATAAAGCCCTCTGTGTCTGACAGTGGAATATATGACCAGCATTAACGGCTGTGATACTGCTGAGATGACCAAGGACCCAGGGGGAGGTGAACTGCTGAAAGGGGAGAGATCTGAGCGGCAGAAAGTCAGGGAGGGGAGGGGTTGTTAGCCTGTTGGTATGCAGACTCCACGCAGATTCCCTGGGATTCAGACTGGAAAGGCTGTTTTTGTGAGGTGATGGTGCTGACCCCCACAGCCATGAGCCGCCCCATGTAAGAACATTATGCTAATATTCTAGTTAACTCAGCGAGTTCCCATAAAGCTTTAAATCTGGTAGTGACAGCTGGGACTGTGGGGACGGACGAATGGACGGATGATGGAGGAGAGGATGGAGAGGGTGGAGAGGATGGATAGATAGAGGATGGATGGATGGATGGATACAAGATGGATGGATAGATGGATGGATGATGGATGGATAGGGGATGGATGGATAAAGGACGAATGGATAGATGGATGGATGGATGATGGATGGATAAAGAAAGAATGGATAGATACAGGATGGATGGATGGACAGAGGATTGGTGGATGGATGGATGGATGGATGGATGGATGATAGAAGATTGATGGATGGTGGATGGATGGATAGAGGATGGATGGATGGATGGATAGAGGATGGATGGATGGATTGATAGAGGATGGATGGATAGAGGGGTGGATACAGAGTGGATGGATGGATACGGATATAGGATGGATAGATGGATACAAGATGGATAGAGGATGGATGGATAGATGGATACAGGATGGGTGGAGGATGGATGGATGGATAGATGGATACAGGATGGATAGATGGATACAGGATGGATGGATAGATGGATACAGGATGGATAGAGGATGGATGGATAGATGGATACAGGATGGATGGAGGATGGATGGATGGATGGATAGATGGATACAGGATGGATAGATGGATACAGGATGGATGGATAGATGGATACAGGATGGATGGATAGAGGATGGATAGATGGATAGAGGATGGATGGATGGATACAGGATGGATGGATGGATGGATGGATGGATAGAGGATGGATAGATGGATACAGGATGGATAGATGGATAGGGGATGGATAGAGGATGGATGTATGGATGGATACAGGATGGATAGATGTATAGAGGATGGATACGGGATGGATACAGGATGGATAGAGGATGGATACAGGATGGATAGAGGATGGATACAGGATGGATAGATGGATAGTGGATGGATAGAGGATGGATAGATGGATAGGGGATGGATAGAGGATGGATGTATGGATGGATACAGGATGGATAGATGTATAGAGGATGGATACGGGATGGATACAGGATGGATAGATGGATAGGGGATGGATAGAGGATGGATGTATGGATGGATACAGGATGGATAGATGTATAGAGGATGGATACGGGATGGATACAGGATGGATAGAAGTATAGAGGATGGATGCTGTGTATGTTGATAGTTCCACGTAGTTTCCCACAGAGTGAACTGTGGATCAGAGGGAGCATCGGTGGGACGGGGGGAGCAGGCATGGGGGGGGGGGGGAGGGGGGGGGTACTGCGGCGCTGGACCACACTGACAATATGCAATGTCACAGCCCGCTGACGCCGTTAAAGCCCCACACACATCCACGCGTTCCCCGCGGAGCTGCAGGGAAAAACTGCAGAAACTCCGCGTACCGGGGACAGGCGGATTATTCACAGAAAATAGTCCTCCGGGGAAAAAAAGTAACCCGCATCTCATTTTTTTTTTAGCCCTTTTCTCCGCGCGTTTGCATAAAATGGTAGATTACAAGAAAGCAGACATTTTGTAATGATGGGATTCTCACCTTCTCCCCGGAGGAGTCCCGGAGCCTCCTTTTTTTTTTTCCCGGAGAAGGGGTCGGGATGCGGCTGTGGCGGAAGGGATGCGCGTCCTCTCTCTCTCTCTCTCTCTGTACAGAGCTTCCCGGCGTGTGCTGCTTTTATCTGCAGTGCTCCAAGTTCCCCCTCTTTGCCTGCCGGGGGAAGTGAAGCTCCAGCTCATGGGAACGGCGTGTGAACGCTCGTCTGGGAATGTGCAACACAGCCCATCATCATCAGCCCACACTCAGTTTTATCCCCATATAAGATCTGGCAGAAGCTATCTACCCGGAGTTACTGAAACTGTGCAGAAGTAGATACAAATTCCATCAGTTTTGTTAGTGATCCAATTATTTTATTCATTAGGGAATACTGTTTCTCCCCAAAAAAACACCTTCAGTACAATACACCTTCAGAAAAAACGAGTTTATTTATTTTTCTATGTTTATTCATGACATATAATTCTAATTGTATTGATTCCAAACCAGAAAACTCTAAAGAACTGACTGACAATCTTGAAAATATATATATTCGGTGCATTTTGTGTATAGGCAGAGTAACCAGAATTGTGGAATTTTAAGGTAATTACCTTAAAATTTCACAATTCTGGTTACATGAACAAACTCTTCTGTTTATTGAGTGAGAGCGTATATTCACATGATGTAAATTTAACTAGAATTGTGAAATTTTAAGGTAATGTATTTTACCTTTTATACATTAAAATAAATAAAAATAGATAAATAAATACATTACCTAAGGTAATGTATTTTACCTTAAAATTTCACAATTCTGGATAAATTTACATCATGTGAATATAATCTCACTCAATAAACAGAAGAGTTTGTTCATGGCTTAAATAAAATCCTCCTGTTCCAGAGCACAGACAGAGCTGATTCACCAGCCTTCAGGAGCTCTGGGCTGTTTTCCACCTTCAAAAACACAGGAAGAGCCGTTTATTATTGGAGATTTTTACATATTAAACAGTCACAAAGGGAT